ATATACCTCACATCTGTTGTCCGCAAAAGCTGAACAGGGATCTTTGTTAATTTTTAATATAAGCATGATATGCTTCACCATCAAACAGTTCTGACGACTTCATGAAATGGATCAAACTTGCGAAAATGATGTTACGCATTTTTCTTTTTAACTTCAAAATTCACAAAATTAGCAAACTTATAATGTTGGATGTCTTAAACAAAAAATAATAATTAATGTCCTAATTAATATATTTCCAAATGTGTTATTGGATTTTATAGAAACCCTTAAAAAGCTTTTTTGATAATGTTATCCTTTTGTAGCTAATTATGGCAATTCAGAATTGAGTTGTAAAATACTTTAATTTTTTTAATTTTATGGATTTCATGGTATTATTTTAATTTGTTGAATGCTATAAAGCTTATATTTCTATCCTTATACTTTTTTTAAATAATTTTATTAGAGTTTACAATAATTGATATGTGCTTAATATTTTTATAAAATAATCTATGAAGTAAAAGTTAATTTTATCAGTCATCTTTATCTTTAATAATTTTCTAATTAATGATATCTAGTTCCATGTTTTAATTTTTATACATATATCTACAAGAAAATATTAGAACAATACAATAATGGCTAAAATAGTTCGATTAGAAGTGCGATATGGTGAATCAGTGTTCCGATTTTGTCCTACACTAGAGATAAGTGTTTTGTCTGAGCTTGAAAGACGATCTTCATATATGCTGTGTTTAATTTGTAAATGTAAAAATAAAAACAACATTTGTTTTTCTGTTTAAAAACTGTCAAATCCTTTTGTAGAGCTAAATGTCGTACTCAGTGTTATTAAAAATTAAAAAATAAAACGCAAAATTGAACGAATGACAAATATTTATCATAAATCAATTATTGAGAGGATCTAACTGAAAACGTCTTTTCTGTGTACAAAATGAAAATGTCCATAACCGCCTCCGAAAAGAAAGAGTAGTATACTAATGTTAAAATGTAAAGAAATAATGAAAATCACATTAATCAAAAATAAGATATCCAGAGGATCTCACTGTAAACGGCCTTTTTTGTGTGCAAAATGGAAACGTCTATACCTCCCTCCTCAAAGAAAAAAAGGCGGGAGTCCAAAACATGATAGCCTGGCGTAGCTTGGTTGTTAGGGCGCTCGACTAACAGCCTGCATGTCGAGGGTTCGAACCTCGTTACTGAACATTCTAACCCTTTCAGCCGTGGAGACGTTATAATGTTATGTACAACCAATTATGGTTGGTAAAGAGTAGCCCAAGAGTTAGAGGTAGGTGGTGTTGACTATATAAAAAATCTGAAGATTGTTTGTTGGTTTCCGAATTTCACGCAAAGCTACACAAGGGGCTATCTGCGTTTATAATTTGAAACTGATAAACTAGAGGTAAGACATTTAGTGAACGGCATCCACCACTAGCTTTTTGGATACTGTTACGTAATACAATTTCAAATAGCCTAAAACTGAGTTAAATTGTAATTTAGATTTAATAGTTAAATAAA